AGGCGGGTGGGGAGGGGGGGAGAAGTACAGGTGAAGGTGACGGGGATTCTGACTACAGTAGCAGGGGTAGCAGTGCCACCAGCCACAGCAGCGGCAGTTCTTCTGCATTTGGGACGTACAGTGTGCTTCCCCCCATCAAAAATACCGACCAGAAACCAGCACAGAAGACTACTAGTAAAGGAGCCAGGCAGTGAACAGGACTCACGGCAAGACATTTCCTGTAATCCAAAATGTATTTTGAATATTACCTACATAATAACAGTTTGCTATTGACAATTTTCCCAAAATAGATGGTGTTCTTTTGATAAAATTTAAACATAAGAAAAACCCCATTTCCCCTCCTACTACAAAAGCCCCCACAAAAAAAAAAATAATGAATTTACAGTAATATCATCAATCAACCTGTCAAAGCAACCACTGAGTTACTAGTATTTTGAAATATCTGTGTCACTTGATAGTATTGTTTTGGTATTGTGGTTGTGTTAGGCTATATATATAACATTACCCCTAAGCTTTCTACAGTTGCCTGAAAGGGTCCATGCAAATTGGCAAAGAAAGAGGGGTTTAGAGGATAACAAAGAAAACCATAACAACCCTGGATGTTCTGGATACACATGCATTAGATGATGATAAGGCTATTTTCCTCAGACGTTTCTTCTTTTATGGTAGTTGATGATACATTTTGAGTGCCAAATAATACAACAAAACATCATGGCCATTACACATGTATGTGGTGTACCTGTACCTGAACAAATCAAAACACTTAGTGGATGCCATTGTTGATATAAGATCCCCCATGCACCTGTTGTGAAGCCACAAGCAGTATTTCATTCACATTGTTACAATAAAGATGTCACAATAAAATTACAGGGAGTGCTGTGTTATTTTTCACAATGATATATCTCATCATGGCATTATGTTTCACTCCTTACCATGACCTGGAACAAAAACCTAACATAAACTACCAGAGCAAGGTGGTTTGGTTGGTCTAAATCAGTAGACAGGTTGTTGCTGGTCGGGTAGGAGAGGTGGTTGTTTGATAGAGGGTTATAACTACATCTATTCTAAACCTTGATTGGACCAAGAAGCTTTCATTACAACGTCCTTGATTGGGCAGATATATTCGGATGCGGCCGTTGACAAGAGGTGGTTGTCTAACAACGTGACCGAATGGACAGGTTTTCTGTGTACTTCTGCTTCCTTGTCGACGGATGAGAGTGCGTCACCTGGCGAGTTTGAATCATATTGCAAGATAACAACAATGGCGATTGTGTAATGAGTAGGCAAAATGGCGGTCTCTGTGCGAGGGGATTATCAATAAAGTACTTTTGAGCAATAATGACGCAAATACAGGCTCTTTGAAGTAGAAACCAAGAAATATTGCCAACGCCTTGTCAGGTATCCTTGGATCATAGTTTAAATCCTGTTGGTGGCACTGCGCTTGGCACGGCGAGTCCTCGTGGCGCAATGGACTAGCGCACCGGACTTCTAGCGAGCACGGCAATGGTCGTGAATGGTATTCGGAGGTTGTGGGTTCGAGTCCCACCGAGGACGGCTAGTTTTTTTTCCTACCCACTATGTGGGCCACTATGTCTGTCGACACATTAATTAATCACCTTAAGTAACATATTGATTGTCTGAGAAATTTTCCGAGGCTGAATTACATGTATTAAACCTTATATAGGGCACCATAATAGACTATCCTAGATAACTTCCTTTCTTGTGTATTTGTCAGATTTGAGCAACCACTTTATATGATATGATATTTTTCATCTCTTTTATGCTGTGGGGCTAGACACTTGTAAGTTGTAAGTGTACTTAAAAGTACCCAAATACATGTTCTAGTAACTACAAAATATATATTATATGCCTCAGTGACAGTGTAAGAAAAAAGAATACATGTAATTGTCCAAACAATCTTTTTAATCCCGGAATGTCAACATAGATGAACACAACGTGAACTGTTATCACTATTTTTGTTCTGTATATCACTCGTGAACACACGACAACGCAGGCAAATTGTGCTTTGGACTATCATATAAATTGTATGTAGTTACACAATGTGGAAGTTTAGGCCACACCAAGTAAATTTTATGGATGACGTCCTTTGGAGATCTAGACCCTAAATCTAATGCGAGAGGGCGAAAAAAAAACAAGAAGGGCCCTAAAAAACAAGATGCCTAGATTAGAAATATACTAAGAGACGACAAATGTTAGGACACAAATTGAATGAGGTGACACAGTGTAACAAGCAAGAAGTCTTTTACTCATCATCAAAACAGCAATAAATCAGGTGGAACAGCAGTTGTCGTCTTGTGCTTTGGGGAGATAGATGGAGCGGTTAGCAAGTTTCTTCAAATGTGGCAGCATGTACCAAACTGAATTCCTAAAGGAAGTAATGATTTCCTTGCTTGATGCTTCATAAGCTTTGGTCCGTACAAACCTATTTGTGGCACTGTCGTGACTCTTTGGTAATAGGTACAGGAAGCAGAATTTCTTGTTTTTTTTCTAGGACCAGGCCAAAATCAATGCGCGCGCGGACGTCATCCATAAAATTTACTTGGTGTGGCCTTACACATAAAAACTCAAAACTCTCACTGTACAGTCGGTTAGCTCAATATCAATTTTGACTCCTAATCCAATGCCAATGCCAATACTTTTGTTTAGCATTACAGAAGGAAAACATATTCTTCTTCCTCTTCTTATTATTATTCTTGTCCAAACAAATAGGGTCAATGGCCTGGGCCAGACGTCTGTCACCATGGTAACTTGTGTTGTAGCAACACCCCGTG